AGCTTTTCACATAGCGCTAATTTATTACACCCAGGATTTTAGGGTGTACGAGGGGACACGTGACCAGCCGATGCTAAGGCTTTTTCCCGCCCCACCCATTTTTTAAGGGAAAAGCCCTGGGGAAGAGGTTGCCATTTGTGTACAAAATGCGAACAAAAAGGGAAAACACGTTGCAGATTATGAGTCTCGCTGCTCACGCAAGTGAGACTAATAAAGCCAGTGGTACCATGCCGTAAAAAATGGCTCATTAACAATACAAATTTCTCGGTGTGATACGCATTTTGGGCTCATGCAATTAGGGTATTTTTTTTTCTGGGGAGGAACAGAAATTTCGTTTATCACACACATTTGGCCGTCGACGAGTTACGTAGCCACGTGACCATATGACATTACTTAACAAATCACGCTATGATTTGGCTGTAAAAATTAACGAAAAGGCATAACTTCAGCTGGTTGGATAGATTTCTTCCATCAAGAATTTACCGAGAACAGATAAAACGGTAAATGACGTGTTTTTGTTGTGCGTCAAACGTTTTTAAACAGCTTTATGCCCCGCGGTGAAATTCACTCTGAAATTGCGCAAAGGAATTAAAATTCTAAGTTGCCTTTCCTGTACATGTTTTGTATCCCGGGACCGTGAGTGATATTCATTTTCATTACTTAGAGAGCTTGGATCGACTTCTGATCTAGAGAATTATATTAAAAGCATTGTTTACTATTCTGCACAGGTAGTAACAAGACGAAGGCGCCCGCCAGTTGATCGTGGTAATTATAATCAGTAACATGCATAGCCATCCCTGTTAACATGCGTTAATATATCTCTTTCGATTCAAAAGTACTTCTTCTTCCGGAGACGAAATCAAGTGTCGCAAGAGGCAATTTCATCGAACTTTTAACCTGTACAATCGTGACATCTAACACGGCCAATAATTATGCACATACGCAAACTGACAGATTACCATCTACTGTTGGTTGCAATCCCAGAAGATACCCGCAAGTCTGAGCCTACAAACCAAAAAAAATAAGCTTAAAACCTAACTTTGATATGATTTTTATACCAGATTCAGGCCGCAACTTTTGAGATATTTTCCTTCAAATCTTCCTTACTTTTAGGGTTTGGATTAAGCCTGCAAAATAGGTAGTCGTTGGACCACTGCAACTTGAACATGTTTTGATCAAAGATATTTTTATTTAGCCTGTAAACTACCGAAGATTAACTAAAAAAACTGAGTCGAACAGATTTTTTGTGCAGCATTAATTCGTTTGCTTGCAACGCGCTTTTCAATAACCATCAATTTTAGTCTTTGAAACAGTCTCTAAGAGGGTGAGACGGGCTCGATACGTTTTTGGCTTGTAGCATAGCTAAGAATAAGAATTTGAAAAAAAAAAGAACGATTTTAGTATAGACCTACTAAAGCCTCTCCACCGACAAAAAATAAAGGAAAACTATATTTTTTGTCGCGAAATCGAGTGGACCGCTTTTTTTAGGGAGACTGCCTCTTAATACTCAGAATTAAGGATGGTGAAAGGAATCTGTGCAACTGATTACCTCATTATCCCTAGGAACACCAACCTATTCCCATTTGGATGGAGTTTCGCAGCGATTTCTGAGAAAGAATTACAAATACCGTCAATTGGGAACAGAAATAAATAAAACTAAGGAAATGAGTGAAAATGTGGTTCTATACTGTCTGGCTAACTCCATAAATGTGGCGGCAAAATTTAAATTTCCTCAATTAGCCATAACATTGTGACAAGTTAATGAAGTTATGAAGGGGTTTCATTGGAAAGCACCTCTTAAAATATAGATTGAATTTATGGAATCAGTAAAGTCGACTTCCTGCAAAACATAGAGAAATGCCAACACTGCAGCCATTTTCGCCGAACGCGTTTCCATTTGCCGTCAGAAATAACTGGAGCAAATAATTAAGATAGGCCATACAGTGACTTTTTACATTTTACGTAGGAAAATAAGTTGTTTCTTCAACTTAGTATTATTAAGTTAAAACAGCTATCAAGTGTTATTTATTTGCTGAAAAAGGTACATAATTGCAATAATACTAAAAAACATTCAGCATTTTAAGGTGGAATGGCACACCATTTATTTGGAAGATGCAGTTTTTATATCATTATTCAACTGATGTTCATGTGGTTGTTTTTAATTCGTTCCAGAAACAGTTTCCTGGTCATTGAAAAAACGTTTAAGCCTTCAGATGTACAGTATTAAGGTAATCAACTTGTTATGTAAACTATTTCACCCTACCGCGAAAAATCTTCTCAAATCAGGTTTTTTAAAGACTGTTCCAGAAAATAAGTAGGGAATGCGAATTCAGTCTTTGTCGGCAAGGGAGGATGAATTGTTTCTCATACACATACACATGCGCTTGTTCCAACTGACTCGTCCCTATTATTTGTACGCGGTCGAGTATCGGCGGTCGTGGAAAACTTGCCTGGCATCCAGGCTTAAGGGAAGACTGGAAGGAGAAAAGGGCAAAAGAAGCGACTTCGTCTCCCCTTTTTACTCCTCCCATCTCCCCCCGCGCGCATCTCCAACGCGCCGGCTCCCATCGTTAGTATTTAATTAAGAGAAGCAAAAGAAAGGGCTGGGGATACGTCAGCTCTTTCTATTTTTCATTCTATTTTTGGTTTGATATCCTACCGAAGATGTATTTTAAGAACGATACCTGATTGGTCGTTTCGGATGTAGCCTGCGAAAGGCAGACGTCTCTCCTCGCTCATCGCCGCTGAGGAATATTTCGCGAAGAGGAACGTCTGCGACTCAGCGACAGAAATTCCATACTGATGACGCAAAACCTGTCCGGAATCCGGGCAGAAGGGCTAATTGGTCAACGGAGTAGTTTCATTGTTTTAGCTATTGTTTACGAATGACAGACAAAAGACAAAAGGCCGCAAAGGTCAAATGTAAACGCGATGAAACTCTAACAAAACAATCAATATTTGTGGAATATAGTCCTCTCTAGAAGAAGCATTTGAGTTTTGTTGGAGCTCATTCACAACACTTTACCAAAATCGACCAGGAGAAACGTAAAATTGAACAAATTTGCATTTGGAACCACATGACTACCGGATTTATTATGTAAACGTTGATTTACGTCATCAGTATGGAATTTCTGCCGCTGAGTCGCAGACGTTCCTCCTCGCGAAACGTTCCTCAGCGGCGATGATCGAGGAGAAACGTCTGCCGTTCGCAGACTATTTCGGATGACTTCATGTACTATAAGTACTGGTTTGGGTTATAAAAGAAGCGTAATAAGCACAAACAAGATGATTAGCTACGGAAAATAGCATACAGCCTTAATTGTTGTTTGTTATAAACTTGGTGCTCAAACCCTGCAGCTTTAAGGGTTACTACGCGATATCTTGATCTTTGTATGGCAATCGAGACCACTCGTTCCTGTAAAAGTAATTTACAGCATGAGTGCACACTAAAAATTGATTGATAATATTGCGATGGCGCATGGGTGTCGTCTCTTATACCCATGCCAGCAAGAGAAGACGTCACTAAACTTCATTGGAACTTACGTGGGACTAAGCGGCCAATACTCGAGATCTGGGGCTCAAATTTTTTCTCAGCTGTCCTGCGAAAAGACTAAGAAAAAAGACGTATTTGTTAGGTTACATGGAGTGCCCTTATTTTGTCAAGACATGTTGTGTTTTGGTTTTTTCACCAGAATTTATTTCGTATTTATCTCAGATTAATATAATGCTCAAAAGATTCTAACTTACTTTTAAGTTTTATATTTATCTCCTTTTTGTTTACAATTTAAAGGGAACTTTGAACTTAAGGATTGAAGCCTACAACCATGACCTCGTGATGTGGATGTGTTTGGAAGGAGAAGTCCAGTTTTCCTAAAATTTCAAACAGAGGGCTCGATATCAAAAGATCTGCATTTTCCTTAATTTTGTATGTAACTTTGTTTTTTTCGCAACCTAATAAAGACCCCATATTTGTAGTAATTTGTCACCTTTTGAATCCCTGCCTTTGTGGTAAGAATGCTGCTGTAAACGTTGTTAAGCCACGACATCCGTGATTTAAACGTAGCATTTTCATCGAGATGTAAAAGAAATCAGAAATAAAGACACGCACAGGGGCATAGCGTTGGGGGCTTGAAGGTGCACCCACGGAAATATAGGTTAGACCTCCGAAGGCATCGCAAACTAAGGGGGGTCTGAAGCCATGCTTCCCCAGAAAATTTTTCGAATATAGGGGCTCAGGAATGATTTCCTGCGTTTTCCGCAGGACATTTTCAATGAGTAAATACAAAGGAAAATGCAACAGTTAGTTGTTAATTAAAAACAACGCTAAAACAGTGACGCCATCAAGGAGAGATGACAAGCAAAGGGCGAGACGTACCCTTCAGACGGGCAAATACACTAATATAATGCGAAAGATTTATCAGTCATCCCGATTTAATGATAAAAATGCTTTCGGGGAATAAAACATAAATATATTTTCAGACTTTAGCTGTACGCAAGGGTGTAAGAACGTATATGGACGCTACGCTTCTGCACCACTAGAGTCTCAGGTTCTCAAAATGAAAAAGGAAACTGTGAACTGCTAATATAACGCGCTCAATACTTACAACGAAAAATGCTATTCCGCACTGTTTTTAAATTTGTTTCTGAATGGCTCGATCATTTTCGCAGTGGTGTAGAAAGGAGAAGAGATACGTTAAGTGGTTTTTCCCTGTGGAACTATCATTCTATGAATTGTCCCTAAAAAAAAAAAATAGCATAGACTCTTACACCTTTGTAGCACCGTAGTTGCCCTTTCTGAGAAGATATAAACCGCTAAGTTTGAGTACTTCCAACCATCGACTTTTTCAGCTTCAACGAAAACCTTTTTGCTTGGGTAATTTATTTAAGCGCCCTGGGTTTATTTTGCATTCGTCGGGGCAGGGCTGGGTTACGTTTATGTCATTTACGATGACGGAAGCTCTCGGCTGTTTAAGAAGTGGACCTATCTGTCAGCCACGTTGTCAAACCCTTCGATTCAGCGTTTTGCAGACGAGAGCAGGGCAGGGAAGGATAAAGGGAACATTCTTGGATTCATCAGAAACGGGCAGGGCGCCGATAGGCAGTTCGATTGGTTTGTGCCTGACAAGGCGAACGGGCTCACGCAGGCAGGGCTCTCACGTTTGAATCAGTCAATCGAGGCCTTCGTGTACTGCATTTTCGGCGCACAGGTTAATGTGCGCAGCAGCATTCTTGGTGATGGAGGCCGGTCGAAAGAAGCGCAGAGCGAGTTTCTCACATTGTTGGAGGACGCTATCAGCCAGTCAATCTGGCAAGCGCGTGCAGCGCTACCAGTTGGCTGTATACAAGGCAAAGGTGAGACTTGATTTGACAGCGACGCCCGGAGCGTGGCTGATGTCCTCTCACATGGCGATCAATACAGGGAGAACAGTTGCCTACAACAACAAGCTTAGGCAGGCACCAAACATGAATCTCTGGTTGAACAATGACGTAAACAAAGAGACAAAAAAGTAGGGTTACGATTCATGGAGGGGGTCCTTCCAAAATTAACCCGCCAAACAATCACCCATCTGATCCAATTCACAAGGAGGCAATGAAACTGGAAAAAGAGCCGCCTACCAACCCAACACCCTCCTCGCCACCCGCTCCAGCGACTACAGTCACGACATAAAAAAGGCGATGCTGGTTGTGGGAGCAGTTCTTTTGACTGGGCTGTAAATTTGGAAACGTTAACGGTTGCGTATGAGGAACGTATTCCCGGCGACCACAGCAGAATTCATTAGCCGAGGTGTGCTTCGTCAGAAATGAGATGGCCTGTCCTGCCGCTGGAGGTGGCCAAGTTGAGAATGTCTTTTTGATGAGCTTGAATATTTCTGTGCTAATCAGGAACCAAGAGGGGAGTCACCTTAGAAGGCTTATGGGTAAGAGCTGAGTTTCTTTACAATATTTATTTTATTTAAGTCAAGTTAAAGGGGCACATTCAGCTTTGGGACCGCCCTGACTTGGACACTACTTTTGCCAGTTTGAAAAGCGTTTACCTCAACCCGAAATCAAATCTACGTGTCGGATACATCTAGAAATCCGCTTCAATCCTGCCTAGTGTTTCATTCGATCCTCGATCTTTTACTGAAAACTTATATTTGAGGAAACGTTTACTCATTCTGTTACATTATTTTATCATATTTGGTTAAAACAGTATTCAAACGAACATGAACAGAAGAGGTGAGAAACGCTTAGGCGCCGGGCGGGAGAAATTGCCTTCGTTTACCAAAATAACTTGAGAAATGAATTAGTAACATTGACAAGCAAATAATCGTTATATATACTTGGATAATAGATGGAGAAGGCTACATTTATTTGGAAAATCAAGCTTCCTCGACCTTGAACCTTCGACAATGATTCAGACTTCATGCAATTTCTCACCAGTAATGATGTTCGAATTCAGAAGTATTCGTCGATGTTTGGCCTTCCCTGGAAAATACAATGGTATATAAAAAAGATGAGTGCTCTGATATGGCTTAGGGTCTATAATCACGATTTCGGTTTTTAACTAGTTCAAGGTTTGTCAGTTTAGAGTGCTCCGGATACGCTTCTCACTTTCTGTTTCACGCGCGTCTTGTGACATGAAAATCAACCAAAAAATGGTATCTAATGCGCATGTGCATCAGCTGACTGTGTCCCTTAAAGCTTTGTAGCCTAGCGTTGGCACCTGGTGCGGTTTTCAAAAGTTCAGCTAGATAGGTATATCTGTCCGGATTTGCAAAAAGGTACCTTCATGACTTTTTTTAACAACCGTCTCATTTGAGGCTTGTTCAGTACTTGACCATTCTTTTCATTAACGTTGTTTTCAGTACAAAGATCCCCCAACGAGCTGCAGTAGATCAAAAAGCATGTGTTTATAATGCTGTTTTGTCGTGGTGATCATGTTATAAGAATACTGTTTAAAAGCAAAAAACGCTTCGTGAGTGTTTAGTTGAAATGGTTTTGTCTTAGACAACCGATTCTGGGGTCAAGAAAGGTGGATTCTAGATCTGTTTTAGTCGGGCATCTCGCTATGAGCCTCATAGTTTGAGAGACTGAAAGGTCATAATTTCTGTGCTGTAAAATGTTGTTCATTTCATTTCAAATCTGTAGCTTTTGGCAAGAGCGACTTTGCGTTTGTTGGCATTAATTTTTCCTTTTTAAGCCCTAACAAGCGACTTTCAACTCCTTTTTATTCACTTCAAGGGTCAAATTGTTGAAACGCACTTGAAATTTCTGTAGGTACCTTTATGTAAATCCAGACATTTGGGGTGGATATACAGCTTTACTTCCATCCTGGCATCAGCACTTGGTACCAAGACTTTGACCCTCCCCACCCAGGACACTGGGTGACTGTCTGCGCCTCTCACTGACCTCTGCAATTATCATTATAATTATTCTCGGCAGAACCCTGATTCAGCTGGCTAGGACAAAGTAAGAACAAGGTACTTGCCAGTCAAAGCCTCCAGAAACACTGCTACTCGCTGAAGGGGTGGTGTCAGAACAGGCCCTTCCCTTTCCCACTAGTTTTGTCCCCCAGGCCTGATCCACCCACCCACTGTTAGGGTAGTCCCTGGGCTATCTAGCTGGGCCGACCAAGACACCAAGCCCCCTCTACTTTTTTTGGACAACGCACTGGTCTGGAGCCGGGATGCGCCCGGCGACAGGCGAAAACCTAATGGCCACGTTTGACGAAATCAGACCGATATATATAGACGGTTGAAAAGGAGCTTCCTTGGCTAACGAGATGTCAATCCAAACGGATCAAGAATGATTCACAGCCCGATTTTGGTGTACGAATGATAAAAAAAGGGAGAAAAAAGACCAAAAGTTGACAACTTTTGAATAATGAAAAAAATAAAATTTACTTAAAACGTTTCGGTCTCAAGGCCTTCATCGGTTACAAAATTACTATTACGAACGACACTTAAATACGAGATACAACAATTACTGAATTAACACCAACCATACAAAGGTTACGTAACAAATTGAACAGAAAACAAAAGATTTTAGTAAACAAATAGTACGTAACGGATTGAAATACAAAATACACAAGGGCGGCAGAAATAAAAACAAAGATTCTAATTGCAATGAACAAAGGTTACGTAACATATTGAAATTAAAGGAAATAATATGAAATGTGTAGTTTCAGAAAATGTTCATACCTCTTCCCTCACCCCTAGGTTTCGTTTCCCGTCGTTTGCTTGGTCCACTTTAAAAAATGCAATCTCCAGTATGTTGGCTCTACCACTACTGAATTCAAAGTTAGTACAGGAACCACAAATCATCTATGAAAACGAACAAAAAAATTGACTGGTTTGTTTCTTTATTTTATTATTATTTTTTATTTATTTTGTTGTTTTGTTTTATATAAGACTGTTCACAGTCCTCTATTTTTCCGTAAGATGGTCGAGATCGCGCGCTTTGAGTTACGGACTGCCATCTAGCATGAGTGTCAAAATTACTTAGGGGGCAGGGGCGGTTTGGGAGGAAGCGAGAAAAATAGAGGGACTGTAATAACATCACTGCAGCTCGCGTTCAGGAGGCGTAATAGGAATTTCACGCCTTTTACCATTCATTAATTAAGAAACTCCGCTGGCGATGAAAAAAATGCCAGACGCATTTAGCATCTATTTCGCGTGTTTTCAAATATCTCCTTTCGAAACAATGATTTTATACAGTTTCTGGGCCATTACATCATGTAAAATCGGCAAACATGCGCAGGTGAAACATTTTCCTAATCGAAGCGCTAAGCATGCTCGAGCATGCTCCTCCTCTGCGGAGGAAAGTAGCACACATTATTATAACATAATCAAGGATTTGACTTCATATTCGACTAAATCAGATTCATTTCATGCGTTAAGGGCCTTTTATTGCATAAGGAGGCCTGGAATTCAAAGTCATTTTCCAATCAAATAACTTGACATATTCATGATATATACACCTATTTCAATTAAGGTGCCTCTGAGAAGAATGATACATGATCCATGTTTCATAGCCCGCGGTGCATTATTGTAGCAAGTCTAGTAAATAGGTTGTTTTCATTCAATCTCGGGAGACACAAATAACAATGGTGAAATGAACAAATGCTGGTGGACAAACAAAGCGAGCTAATGAGCGATCCTTTGTTTACCGTCCACCAGCATGGCGGCGATGACGTAACGTGAAAACCACCTAATTATTATGTGCCCGCAACAAGCCTAGAAACCTAGAGGCAAACGCTGTTAACGCTTCTATGCTATGTCAGCAGAACGTTAAGACAATGTATTTCAAACCACTGAATCGAATCCCTGGCTTGTTAATTTAAGACAGCGATTTGAGGTTAGGTTTTTCTCTGTGGTAATATGCAAATACTGCAAATTTTCAACGAGTTTGCTTAGCTCGTGCACGTGGGAATTTTGGATTAAAAAAAAAAACAAAAACAAATTCAAGGTGTTTGTTGAACAACAATAAATAACTTAACATTACGTTTTATCTATTTTTGAGGCAATTTTTTTTAAAACTGGACTAAAGAAAAGAATAGCGTTGATTTGCTTTATTGAAATAACCAGTATTCTGGCCCATACAAAACCGCAGCTTAATCAGGCGGTAAAACCCTATTCATTTAATGTTGTTAAAGGAAGAGGCTTCTTTTTTTTTACTATGAGATTTTGAAAATGAAATTTTTCATCGCGCTGATGCCTAAGAATTTGAGCAGCCATTTGACTTGAAAGCTCTCTTGAACGCCTTTTCACAAATGATCTCCATTATTTCAATGAACGTGAAGAAGACTTAACTTCCCGCTCCAAAATGGTTTACCATAGTGCACTGCAGGCTATGAAGCATGGTTCACGGTAGCAACCTTAATTGAAATAGGTGTATATTGGGTGATGGACTGATATTGACACAAAAGCTAACTTCCGCAAAGACGATAAATATATTTACCAACCTCAAATTTCCAAATTTAGAGTGATTTTGCTTGAACTATGAAACAGATACTAACAAATAGTGCAGTATATAGTATATCAGCTTGGTACGTTAGCATGCCTTGATTATTGTAACATTAGATACGCTGTTTCATACAGACACTTGGTTTCGTTGCCATTCTCCCAATCACACTTTAGCGTTATAATCTAAGCCGGAGATTACATCCATGCCGAGTTACTGGGGTTGCGTTTGTTCCAGTCATGCACAACAGGAACACCACTTGGTCAATACCTGCAAGATTTCACTCCGGTACTGGGCTTTAAGAGCGACGGTCAGGAAATATCGACGATTGAGTGGCAAGAGTTGAAAAATCGATTTCCTTCATTTTTTGTCCATAAATAGCTTTTAGGTAGATAAGTAATCTGATGTAAGTTGTTCT